TAGCATTGAAAGCAAGGGGGAAAAGGTGATTTATGATTTTGTGAGTTAAGGTGTTTTATTTGAGTTAAGACAATTTATATGAGTTAATTTTGATTTTCAGCTGAGTTAAATCAGCTTTTCTCCTCTTGTCATTAATAGTAGAGATTTTATATTTTTTTGACGTTCATTCATAAAAACTCGTTAGAAATATAATTAATAACACTTTTAATTAAAACAATTAATTTTTAAAAAACAACAGGTTTTTGTACGACTTTTTTTTCTCACAAATAAAATATAGACTTCCTTTTTGGTGATGATAGGTTAATATGTCGTAACACTAGTCAACGACGTATTATTTAACAATACAGACGACGCATTTGAGTGGAATTTTTCATTTCAACAATTATGATTATCTGTTATTTTTTAATTATTCGAAATGCTAAACTTAGTCAACAACGTTTCAATATTTAAAACTATTTGACTCAAATGGTTGGTAATTAATAGTGATAGAATTAATATAAAATCTAGAGAATATAAAATATTAATCATAATATCACTCCGATTAGGTATTTATCTTATCGAATGTTTACTTTTTCATAATGTCTAGCTCATTCAACTGTCACAATATCTTGAAAAAACAACAAATATTCAAATGGTTTGTAATATATTTTATTCATGTGTTGCTTAACAAAACTACTACAATCTCGTTCTGTCTCGGATTGCCTGTCAGTCAAACGAGATAAAGTGATGTTTCTAAATTTTTCAAATCCATTAAACTCTATGTCTAGATATTATATCATAATTCTAGTTTCATATATTGATTTTATTTATTTTCATAAAAATTATACAAGAGCAAGTTCATCCAGAAAATATCAAAGTTAAACCAGAAGAAAAATCAAAATAAATATTCTTTATACAGTAGAAACTTGAATTATTGAAGTTCTTTTTTATTATATCAGCACTGTTTCACATAATCAATTTGAATTGTAGTCCATCAAGAAATAAGAAAAAACAGAAGAAAAGAATCTTATATTTCAATTGAACAATAGCATTGTTGTCTTAGAGATATCTCATCAGATATAAATAACGAAATTTGGTAGTCAAATTTATTAGCTTGTGGCGTTGTTTTATGGTTCACGTTTGTTACGAATAAAATTCATATTAAATCGTACATAGACCAGCAAATTTGGTCTGATAGACCACTAAAAACGTTTGCCAGGAAGCAAATCCAGCAAATAACACTGATCTAAATAAGGCATTTTTCACAAGGACAAGTCCATGTTTAGTCTCACAATTGTGTCTATAAACATGAATACATTCATTCTATTAGAAAATTAACTTTAATTAATTTTTATCATCTACGATGGTATAATATATAATTCATGACGAGCATGAATGAATCATTTAAAGTTCGAGAAGACAAAAAAAGTTACAATAAAAATTTTCACGCAATGATAATCGATGAAGTTTTGTTTTTTTCCTGGTATTTTAGTGGCAGTTCTTAATATCAATTACTACCAATCACAGAAAATAGTAATAGCATTGCACACAAAAAGAAAGACTATACGTGGACACAAACAGACAAAACAGACACATTCAATCGTCAGTCATATAAATAATATTATTTAATCACATGTACTAACATGACTACGTTTTCGATGAGTATGATGATGAAGACCATTTGGTAGATTGCCATGAAGTGGTGATGATAAAGAACCACGTCTACTTGATTTATCATGTGATTCTTTTTGTTTAACATAAATCGATATTTTTGGGTTAATGAATGCATTAAGAAGAATGAGAAAAGCACGAGATGGTAATATACCTTTCACTAATGGTATTAAATAATAGAAACGTGGTACACAAACCCATTTTCGATTTATCTAAATAAAATACTTATAGACATAAACAATTTAATTACGAAAGTACAAACCAAGATTGCATGCATAATTTTCTTTGCGGCATAGTCAATTGTAAGTGGTGGAACCAATGGATTAAAACGTGTTTTAGCCAGTTGATATAAAGCTGTCGAAAGATAATGAGATACTGCCGAAGTGGTATATATACCATCATAGCCTCCTATATTAATTATAACATATTATTTTGATAGAAAAAAAGAAGTCTCTTTTACCTAAAGTTAATTCATGATCAATACTTTCCATAAGACCAGTAAGACCAAATTTAGATGTGCAAATATCTGAAAAATTCCCCAGACCAAATACAGCTGTTGTACCAAGCATTGTTACTATATGTCCATGATTACGTTTCATCATTGATGGAAGAATTTGACGAATTAACTAAAATATACACATACATCTTAAGTATTTTTTATTATTTAATAGTTATCATTCAGATAGGTAAAACAAAAAATCGAGTAATATGGAAGCAAAATATGTATTTATCTCATTTCTTAATCTATAAAATGCGTAAATTATCAAAGGACATATAGTTCAGGTTGATTAAAGAAAAAAAAAGTTTAATTATATATCTATTCAATCTTAAACTCAATGATGTTTGAAAGAGTATTGATTTATATAACTTGATCGTTTGTCGAGGTATTTTGTTGTATTTGCACTTATATCAATTAATAAATAATAAAATTGATCTCAGAAATCGAAATGAGAATTTATTGTTATTATACAAATTGAGTAAAATAATCATCAAATGGTTCATATACGTCATTTCGTAGAGCTCCTATATAACGGGTGGCCCAAAATAAAATGGCCACTTTTGTCCTTTGTTTTTGAGGCACTTTCCAGTGGTCCAAGGAATTGATTCTAGACTCATTCAATAGAGAATTTTCTGCTCTAAAAAACCCATCATTTTCTTTAATTACATATTATTTCATTATGTTAAAAAATGGTGCACATTAAGCACAGATAAAAATTGAAACGGCGGCGGGAGTGACAGATTATAATTTCTTTTGTGCCCGACCTAATTGATTATTTAATAATGCTTCTGTTACCTATTCATCACAGGTACATTGCGTAAAGCATTCGTCTTCATGTGATTAATCTGCATTGAGAAATAAAATTTGTCCTAACAATTTGTCACTAACAGCGGATGGTCCTAAAATGATGAATTTCATTCATATACTTATTTTTGTCCATATCCAGTAGGGCTCGGAGATTTCGTTCTGCCTGCAGAAGGTAGAAAATTTTCTACTCTACAAAACCCTCTATATCGCACACTTACACTGCGTCGTTTGGATAGTACTTCCACTGTTTTTTTCAAAATCTCATGTTGATCGAAAGCGTTAATTAACTTGTGTTCCGAAGATTTCACAATTTGGATGACGAAACGCAGAATCACCGTAATCTGGATGATAGCACTCCATCCGCTGAACATTTTATAGTACCTTCTTCTCTCAATCACAACATCATTTCTTGAAAAGCTACACAAAAACCGAAAGGTCACCAAAATTTTGATGCGAAATCGCAGTTTCAATTTTTACCTGTGCTTACTGTGCACCATTTTTTAAAATAATGAAATAATATGTAATTAAAGAAAATGATGGGTTTTGTAGAGCAGAAAATTCTCTATTGAATGAGTCTAGAACCAACTCCTTGGACCACTGGAAAGTGCCTAAAAAACACAGGACAAAAGTGGCCATTTTATTTTGGACCACCCGTTAAATACGTATATAATTCTATATCTTTAGTGTCAATATATGAGCTATTTTACAACAGTGTCACACGAAAAAAATATCGAACTGTTTATCACTGAACTTTGTTTGCAAATGTTTATGTTTTTGATTGATTTTGCTAATGTATAGAAATTCTGTCATCTTATCATATAAAAAATAGAAAGATCTATGGTATACAAAAAGCTTAAGTTTTCAAATTCATCGAACATTTCGATTACGTCAACTATAAGACATTATCATTTCATATTTAAACAAAAACAAAAATTTTCTTATGATTACAAATATTGTATTTATCTAAACTAAAGGAAACTATATACCCAATATGCTGCAAATAGATTAACATTTAAACATCGTGAATATTCTTCTTCAGTCATATCCAAAATAGATTTTGATGATAAAATAGCCGCTTTAAATAAAAACAAAAAGTATATTCATATAAATATTTTAGTTTCAATAAAAACAAACAAACCATTATTAATTAACATCGTGATCTCGCCAACATCTCTCTGAATATTTTCTACAAGTTGATGTACTTCATCGCGGTTTCCGATATCACATTTATATGTAAATACACGATTTTCATTATTAGTTGTTAATGCTAATTCTTTTGCTATTAATTCAGCTGTTTGTGCATTTCCATTTTCATCAATATCACATAAAACAACAATAGCACCTCGTTTAGCAAATAACAGTGCCATTTGTTGACCTAAATAATAAAATAATTGATTATTTGACAATAAAAACCAAAACTTGATAATATTTATTTTACCTAAACCTTTTCCAGATCCTGTTATAAGTACAATTTCATTTCGAATATTTTTTTCTGTTGTTGAAAAAATATAATGACTAACAGCCTGTATAATAGAATGAATGATTTCAATAATTATTCCAATATAATATTTAAGATTTTTAACGTGAGACCACATTTTGTTATTCAGAAAAACATCTAAAAGTTGAGTATCAAGAATATTAATGTCCCAAAAGAAAGCAATAGACCAAAAAAAAAAAGTTATACACGATATTTATCACTGGAAAAAAGGATGGTACGTATAAAAACTGCAGATACCCATGGTTACTTTGATTTTTACTGATACAAGATGTTTGACAAATAAATATCAATGTAATCATGGATAAATTTTGGAGCAGGCATCAAAGTCTCGAACCACACGGACACACATAATTACCTTAGTTTTAATTGTTAAAGATAACTATCGTTATCTTTGACATTTATTTGTAAAAGATGTTGTATAATTAAAAATCAAAGTAACCAAATGTGTCCGTATGATATTCGTTTTGAACTCAATCATTTCTATTTGCACTTTTGGCAGTGTCTCCAATTTTTACAGATAGCCAAAAAAAAAAAGGAGTTCAATTTTTATTCAACCATCACCGATGAACGACAAAGTGGACATGTATTATATTCACTATTATATAGCCAATTAAATAAACATTTTCGATGAAAATGATGAAGACATGGTAATGTACATATATAAACATTATTAAAATATTTCTCAAGACATATTGAACATTGATAAATTTGACTGCTATTCATTTCAGTCTGATATGAATTTAAAGAATTATTATTTTCATCAGTTTCACTTGTATAAAAATGATCTTGTTGAGATGTTGAAACAACATTTGTTATACGTCGATGTATAAAGGATTTTCTTAATGTACAATCTTGTTCATTTGTATTATTAGATTGTTCTAATTCAATATCGGAATAATATTCACTAGCACCATGTGTTGGTTTTCGTCGTCGAGTTGTAAAACGCCAAACTGGAAGATGTTTAAAATTAATTGTTCGATTATTTGATATATTTACATTTGGATTTATTGTTAATAATGAATATTGATTTAACCAAAGACTATCCTGAGAAAAATATTGCAATAAAGTATTATTAGTATGTTCATTTGATCCTTGATCTGAAAATAAAATACATAAAACAAATTGCCAAACTTTTGAACATAAAGCATGCGTTCGATCAATCATGATAACATCATTTGGTATCTAAAATAAAACATGATTCTTATTAACTCTACAGTAGAATTATGCAAATGTATATGTTTGACATACAGAAAGAAAAAAAAATAAATCCTTAATCAAATTTTCTTTAAAAAATGAACAAAAGTATTTTGATAGAAAAATACTCATCTATACGAATGGAGATTAAACGTACTCATATATCCGATAGATTATTATAGTATTAGGATTTATCATACAAAGTTATATCAACAGTGAATGATGAACTGCGTCTCTTTTTTTGCTTGACGATGGCGAGATCCTTTGTCAGCAAAGGATAAAGTCCATATAAAATGAGAAGTAAAACCTGGAGGTGCCGATGAATAGTAAAGATAAGAACCCACACATTTGGTCGTATAAAGTGTTTATTTAATAAGAATTTACTTTTTACCATGAAGAAAATTGCTTGAAATAAAAGAATTCAAGAAGAGAAAGAAAACTCAAATTTGCAACAAGGGAAAAATCTAATCAAAAATTGATTAGCATTGTACAAAAATAATTTTTCTTTAATTTCAGGTAGGGGTCATGCCAGAGTGTCTCGAGTGGGTGATCCACCAATTTTGAAAAATTTTCATTTTCTGCAACATAGTTTCAGTGTTTTACTTTTTTGCTCATAGATTCTCTAAAAATGTTAGAACCTCCGTCCCTAAAATTCTGCAATTTTATTAAAAACGCTCCTATCGACCCCATGATTCATCGACTTTTCTTCAATGCTAGTGACCTCAGACTGTTTTATACTATTTTATAAAAAAATTTGCTGACTCTATTCTTTAGATGACCTCTTCAGTATTAACACTGTTTAACAACAATTATATTTTATTAGACAATGTCTCATAATCGATCTTGAATTTGAAACTTATTCAATGAATACCATTCTAGATATTTATCACTGCTGATGTATAAAAATTAATAAAGTATACTATTTACTTGAATTTCGTAAGTTTGTCANTGGAATATTATATAAGATCCAATGAATCTAGAAAATCACAAGGATCAATACTTTCCCTTACTTGTTAATATAGACAGAAAATCTGATGAATATTATAAAAAAAGAAAGAAAGAGTGAATTAATTAATACTAGAATAGACTTTTATAGGTATAAAATATATGGACAAATATATCTATACATCTGTAAAAAAAAGGAAGAAACACAAAGAGAAGAATAAATGTCAGAGTGACAATGTAGACGGGCAAAACTTCACCCCAATAGAACGATATACTATTTCAGAGAAATAGACACTCGCAACGAACAACATATCTAGTATGTGTGACGACATGACTTAAAAGAAAAAGGAAAAAGATATAAAGGCGTAGCCTATAACGTGTATTATAACTACGATGTTCAGACAATTAAGAACTATTAGGAGTAGAATTTAATGAAATTTGGTTTCTCCTAAGAATAATTATCCTGTGTTGCCACTTTATTTTTTTTGACTTTTAATTTAGCATAAAAAATTCACAGATGTCGTCCGAAGACATTAAAACTGACTTTGTTTTTCGAGATGCGACTTTAAAAAAATTGGCAGCTAATATGATCTGGACGCGGCCGCGCCATCACCGCGCTCAAAATTTTTTTCGGCGATGCGACCGTCAAAATATGAGTCAGATTTCACATTAGAGCGCGGGCGGTGCACATCTCTGATGTATATTAATCATAAATAATGTATTTATTCTCACTCTCTTTAGCATATTTGATAAGATCTGTTGTTTTCTCATATTCATAGATAACTATCAGAAAAATCAAACCCAACAAATTTGTTTTCGCTAAACAGTCTAACGAACATAGTTAGCCACAGTTCGACATCAGTTCTGGGCATAAAATCAATTGATATGATGACTAAATGGCATAATAAAATTTTTAGAAATACACCCATAGATAGTTTCTCTGTGCGAAGACATGATTTCTTTTTATTATTTGCACTGTCACTTGAAATTCATTGTTTTCGTTTTGAATGTGTTATTTAGTTCATAAATCTCATGGTTCACGTATAGAATGCTTCCCAGCAAAAGTAACAAAATGCATTGATGGTTTTTCAGATACGCTAGAAAAGTGAAATATTATTGGAATATTTGAACATCTGTATGCCCGACATAACCCATGGTTTATTTCCGTCAGATCTAATTTTAATACTTGATTAAATGAAAACACAGTAAATGTATTTTTTTTAATAAATGTGTGAAATGAATGGAGCAGATGTTACACTTCTTTACATCAAGAATAAAACCTTATATTTGTTTAACCTAGTTTTTTTCCCAGAAAAAAAATTATCGACAAAGATTAGATTATTGTATCCAAAAATATTTTCAATGGGTTGATGATAATTAGTTTTAAATACAAAAACATTATTCTTCGAGAAACTGGAATTTTCGCTGTTAAGAGATTTTTTCTATCTGATTTTAAATTTGAAAAAAGAAGTCTTAAATTAACGTAAATTTACTGATTTCAAGATATTTCATTTTTGAAAATTTAATGGATTGAGACAAAAATTCTGAATTAATTTTCTTTTTGATATAGTTTTGCGGCGCAATAATGCAGAAGCTTGACTCTATTTTTGTTAGAAAGAGCAAGAAGTCAAGTGTCAAAATAAATTCAACAATATGATTGAAAATATTATTCAAAGGCTACAAAAAGTTTGAAAAAAAGGTATGGTGAAACTCTCTTGTAATTTCGATCACAAATTTTGTTTCAAATTATCTTTGGTTGATTTTTTTTATTATCGACGTCCGATATTTTCCTGTATGATATATACACAATCATTCATTACCATGACAGCTTTCATGTGATTTTAAAATTAATTGATTTAGCGTACAAAAAACTCAATTATAAATAGTTTCATTTAGAAGTTTGAATTAGACATTTACAATACGAATACTAATTTTTGTTTGAACATCTCACAGAGAAACCGTGCTTTATTTCAAATAATATCGTTCGTTAGATGGTTTCATAAATTTTCTGGAAGTAGAATTTACTTTTTTTTAAAACTGCGATCATTAGTTATGAAAAGTTAATGGTACAAAAAGATATAATAAGAGCGTTCATATGGATAGTTGCAAAACACTTAGAATATTTCTTTTGTGGGCATAGTTATAGTAGCTTGTCTTTCGGTCACAAAACTTAGAAAAGCAGAGTAGCGAGAAAACCTTTCTTATTTAGTTGGTTTTTTTTTCTTATATCAACAGATTTACGAAAGAGTTTCCTGATAATTTTTGCTTTAAGATTTTGTGAACTTCAGAACACTTTTCAGATCAAATTTTTTAAAATATGTATTTTCACTTAATATCTTGCTCTTTCTGAGAAAAAAAGTATCAAATCTCTGTGACATTTCATTACAAGGCTGTATTCAACAATCAAAATTAATCCAAAACTTTTGCTTCACCCATTATTGAGAAATAATATAGAAAACAATCTAATTATTTCATGATCATATCTATCTTATAGAAAATCGCTGTTATTCGTATTAAATTTCTAATTGTTTCTGTTTTATATCGTTATTCTTCCTCAAAGAATCACAACTTTTTAAACACTGCTTTTGTTTATGAGAACTAAATTTTGACGCTATTCTTTTGTTGCACTTTAGAAAATACCATAATCATCAACATCATAATAATCACTGCCTGACAAAATTGTTACTTCTGAAGATGTAGATGCGGTTTTAAACAAAATTTCAAAGAAATAACAACGCCAACAGGTCTGAATCTTCTGTGTATCCACACCATCTTAGGTGGAGAACATAGAGATCAATGAAGGATCATTGCGAAACTATAAACTGATGTGATGTAAAGAAATTACAGCCTATATGATGCAGTAGCTTGTACAAATTTTTGGAAAAATCTTCAATTCAATATTTTCACGAGAGATTATAATACCTACCACGATGTTCAATATTTATGGAAGCAACCAAAGGACAGGGTGTGTGTGGGATGGTATCGGTATGTGATGGAAAAGAAGATTCAAACTTACAATCACACACTCACACTCATACTCTCAACCGTTTGTAATGTATTCTCTGGCATTCATATGCAGTTATATGTTCACTGAAAAGATGTGTAAAAATGAAGTTTTACAAATGTCTTTTTTTTCATCGAACGTATTTTGTAATAAATCGACTGTAAATTCAGTAGAGTATATTTATTGGAGTTTGCTGATTATCATATTTCAATGATGTATATACAAGAAGTAGAAGATAAGTCAATATGTTATAAACATTTCTTTTTTTTGTGTTTATCCGATAATTATGGCAGTCGTTATTGCTTTATATCCTCAGGCTAGGAAGCAAAACAGATTCCGTTATACAAATTAGATATCTTTTTATGGAACAGATTAAAATCATCTAAAGTATTAAGGATACTTGTTTATTGGTTATCCTTTAATTAAAAAATGAACATTTTTGAAAATCTTTATATCGATAGCTAATAGGGTTAGTCTGACTGATAGAGAGATGGCATCTGAATGCATGAAAATTTTTCATTTTAGTTCTTTGAGCAAAACCTCAATACTTCTCTTCATTTCCATGAGAACTGCATCGAGTCGTTATTGTTTCCGAAAGAATTACTTTATACATAAAATGGCGACCTCTATGCGGAATTTATAAATATCATTGAAGAGGTTTACAGACGATAAGTCTTTCGTGATTTATTAAACGAATCATAAATTATTGTCAACACCTTCATTTTGCTTGTGCTCCTTCAAATCTATTAGTCGTACTATTATCGGAAAATTGACTTTGTAGATCCTTTAGTACATCATATGTATTTTATTTTGAAAAGAATTAGTTTTTAGTAATTTATCGAATGATTTTCACAATAATTAAGTAGATTTTTGAAACCTAGACAAAAAAAAACAATTTGTCTGATGTTATAGATAACTTTTACGTTGTTTTATAAGACAATTTATTTTAGATAGATAAAGAATCTCAAATGTCGCATGAGAATTTCATATTATTTATTGTTTACTATTGAACAAGATCTAACCGCAAGGTACGAATAATATATTATATAGATTACATTGTCTATATTTATATTAGAACATTTCCTTTTTTTAGTTCTAAAACATGACGACTACTAGTCAAACCAGTGATAGTCTTTATTCAAAAGAATCTTTCTCGAATGATTTCATAGAAGTTGATGATTGGCTTGTTTCATTCAAGGTATATATTACTTTTTTGAATATCTCTGTGGGTACAGTGTGTCTTTGTTAATAATCTAGCATGTCGAGATTCATTTCTCTTCATCTTATTCAGCATAAATAAGATGCTAATGAAGATAATATTTCTAAATTGAAAGATGCTTCCTCTACTGTTATTTATGAATAGAATTGCGTGTTAGCAATCAAAAATTGTTTGAATGTATACACACATATGTGTCTGTGTGTGATTTATAATCTTTCTCGATTTTCTGCTTCTCGTAACATTACCAAAGAAAAGTAAAAGAGGAACATCTTTTTTTTCTCTTTGTTCATTTTCCTTTTATGATGTGCATCTTTCTAGAAGATTGAAGAAAAACAAGTTCTTAAGAAACAGTAAAGATGCAGAATTGATCTTTTTTCCTTTTATGCTTCTATTCATAGTCTTATTCATTTTTCTTTTAGCATCGCTTTAAAATGAAAATCTTCTTAGTAGTTTCATATCTTTTTTCTCCTTTAAGCAAAGATTTTCTTTAAACTTTGATGGATAGAAAGATTCACATTATATGATACACCATATACTTCTAATGTAATAATTTAACATCTCTATTCTTTGCTCGGTTAGTTCTCGTTTCGTCGCAAAATCATCCTCACCCGCACCCTCACCGACTTTGATGTGCTTTGAAGTATATTATTTAAACTTGTTACTTTTCGACGAAACGAGAATACTTCCTTTGCTCGATTGCATATCTCAGCTTGTATCTTCGTACGAACAATTCGAATTAATTATGTAGAAGAGACATATACGCTCGTCATTCTCTTTTTGCTCTCCTTTCATTTATTTATTTATTCATTCATTAATCCATTCATATTTAAGGTAACATAAATCATATGTCATACAGAAAAAAAAGTGGAAAAGAGACTAAGAATTTTTTTTTTTTATGTTTAAGAAAAAAAGATTATCACTTGTCAGTCAAAACATTAAATCTTAAACGAGAAAGACATGTCGACCAAGGCGACAAAGATTATGCTCGCACGCATAGACTGTTTCTGAGAGGTGACGTTAGCACAAAAAAGAAATAGAAAATGAAAGAAAGAAATTTGTTCGCACGACTAGGTTTCACCTTTTTTTTTTCTTTTTCCTCATCATCTAGGTGCGTATATGTGTCTGTGTTTGAATAAAGAGAACGCATCGGAAGTCGAAAGAGGAGAAAAAAAACGGGAGGAAAGATGTGAGCTTTATTCTTCTTTTTTTCTTGGATAGGATGAGAAAGCATCATCAACATTCAACTATAATGCAAAGCTAAATGCTGAAATTCATTTAGCTATCACTGCAGAGCCTTCAGAGGTATGTATCAATAAATTGATTTGTATAAATATATTGTAACATATTATTCTTCTATATCTCTAGTATGCATCATCGCTTTGTGATCCCCTCTTCACACTTTATCGCGATGTGCAACATCGACCATTTGTACTTCAATTTCTTCCATCATTCGTCACCACCTACTATGATATTCTTCATCATCAACCGGAGTCAGTTGATGCCACTACTAAGGTAAAATGAGATAGAATGTTACGATACGCGCTCACTACAATTGTATATGTGTCTAATGACTGGTCAACATACATACATCCTTTTCATTAATGTATGGAACAAAAAAAAAAGCAGGAAACCTCTTACGTAAATTGAGAGTGGAGAGAAGAAGAGAAAATATGTGTGAGATAGATAAAGATCTAGTGCTAGTGTATGATGTAAATCTTTTGAGTAAGCAGGTAAAGCCTTAAAAGATAATTTCTTTTTCTTATTTATTTTCTCATTATATATAGAATAAACGTCAGCCTGAAGCGCGATTCTTTCGCTGAGCTTCTAATTTTAAATCTAATTAAAAATTTTGATAGAGTCTGTAATAATAGTCGTCGACAAAGTAGAATAAAACAAGAAGAACACGGAGATTCATTTTGCGATGATGCTATGTTCAAAAGTTTTTTTTGTATAATGAGAATAATGTGGTAAAAAGCGGAAATGAAAAAGACAAGAAAGATAGCAACACAGTTAGTCAAATTTGAAGCATGTCAAACAAAGCTAATTTTGCTTTTTTCATCATTATGAATACATACACAAAGACTAAATTCATAATGCGTATATGCCTGGAGTCGGCAGCATCATCCTCATTGTTCCTCTTATTTCTTGACAGCATCCTACGGTGAATAATTAGACATCTATAATAGAGGTGAACAGCTTTCTCTTCTGTTTCTCCCTTCCTATTTCTCTTTCTCTCTCTCTCTCTCTCTCTCTCTGTTTCTCTCTTACCGCTTCATTATCATTATTAAAAAATAGAGAAAATGAACACTTCGCTTCATTATTCTTTTCTTCACCATTCGGTACATCTAACTTTTTACTTGTAGGATGTTCGGTCAACAATCGATACTTTTCTGGTCGCTCTCTACAATCTAGTAAGTTTATGCACCATATGTTTATCTAGTATAATAAAAAGACTTTGTCTAAACGGTAGTTAGCTATTGATAACAGTAGTCTTATACTAATCTGTATCAGTAGCTCTACTACTGAATAGCCAACATATGTCATTATCGACGATTTTTACGAATCAAGTTTTCAAATATATAAATAATACAAAATATCCATATTCATTTATAGAGTATTCTCGACGATGGACATAATGAAAAAATTCATGATTTTCGTAAGTTTATCAAAAGAAAAAAAATAATAAAAAAAAAAAAACTTTTCTATCCCCTAGGTATTCCAAATTTGACTTTACCATCAATTTATCATACGCCGAATCCTGTAAGTCTTTCGGTTGATTTTGGCAAAGATGACTAAACTGTATATGATCAAGATAATCTATGAGAATATTTTCAGCAAATATAAACTCAATTATCAATATCGAACTTTGTATAATTACCATATTAATATAAAAACAACTATCATTTCAGTTAATTACATAATTAACAGATATAAAATAGTAAAAAATAATAATAATATTAATAAAAGAAATAAAAAATAAAATAAAAACAAAATTTCTTGTTTGAAAAGATGCATGCTACTTAAATAATTTTTAATAAAATATTGAAAATATTTCAAAGAAAAAAAGAGAAATAAATAAAGATTCATAAAATAACACAAAAAAAGAGAGAATATCAAAAAACATTGAATAAATCGAAATTGATAAAATTGAGCCAAAAAAGAAAAACAAAATTGTGAATTATCAAATTCAAAATTCAATTTAAAGAGAAAGATATCAATTCAATATAAAATTGATTTCAAATAGTTCAAAGAAAAGTTTTATTTAATTTAGGATTATTATGCACCTACACCACTTACCCAACATGCAATATCAAAACATGAAAAAAAATGTGAAGTTGTTCATTTACATTCATTTGCTCCGTTTGATTCAGTCAATGTAACAACAAGGTATATTTAAGTACCTATTCATCACCAATTGTTTATCTGATATTTTTCAGTAGTTCAAACCTAGTGATGAGTTGCCAGGGGTTTGTTTTATATAAAGATATCTATCGACGGAAAAGGAAACGATATAAATCATGCGCTTTTTATTTAGACACTTTTTTTGGATGTTCTTTTATTTTTTTAATTTTTATTATTTAGTGGTGAGATAACATGGAAAGCAGGATCAAGAAATCTCGATTATATGTTTGTAGATCATCCAGATTTTTATATATATATTCGTGTGATTCTTTGAGAAAATAAATTAACTTTTTTGTTTTAATTGATTGACTGACTTAAAAGAAAATCTTGAATGAATGTTCAAATATATTCTTTTATATTTAGAGAACAAATTCTTTGGTTTCTACTGATTCAATATGGTTCAAATGTATCACATATGGATATATATTCTCGACGATCTTATTTTAAAATGTCAAAAAAGTAGTATTGACTAAAAAAAAGAAATAAAATCTTTTTATTCTTCTATTTAATTATTCATAGATTACTTGGTCAAGGTTATTCGTTTGATGATAATATTTCAAAAAAAGAAAAAAATTCTATTTTACCACTGAATGGTCGTCGAATACATCTATCAAGTCGAATATTATCGGAAATCTTAGGAACATTATTCTATTTTAAGTAATCGTAGAATAACAAAACAAAACGCAAACAAGTTTTTTTTTAAATATTAATAACATTTTATTTTTAGAGCTAATTCATCAGATAAAGAAGCATTCGAATGTATGTGTTTGCTAAAACAACGTGCTGAATATGAAATGTATGCTGATGTGATTTTAGTAAGTATTAATATAATATATTATATTATGTATGAATTTATTTATTTTTTCTTAAGATGACAGAATCTATGAGTTATTTACATGAATTTGATAATCATCAATTTGAACAGCAAGATACAATTGGCATTGAAATTGAATTACCACCAACAATTGATATGGTTAAACAAAAACGTACAGCAACAACAACACGTTCAATTAAAAATCGACAACGTCCACATAAACATCATGTTGAAAATCAAACAGGTAAACGACAAAAAAAGAAAAAAAAACGGTTTTTAATTAATTTTTCTATATAAATTATTTAGACAAATCAAATGTTTTATGTTTATAAAAAGTACTAGAGAGACAAAAAGAGAGAGAGAGAGAGAGAGAGAGAGAGAGAGAGAGAAAGAACACATCTGCCTGTATATGTTTTATTATTTTGCTTATTTGTTCTTTATGTTTTATTATTATTATTATTCTTTAGCTATTATTGAGAATGATTTACCGAATGACTCAATAGAATATTTAAATTTTGTTGCGGTACCAAGTGATGCTACACCTGAGGCACTAATACCACCAACTAGTCATCAAAATAAATCAATATTTGATATACTTGATGAAAATACGCCAACAACTGAATATCTACATTCAACTAGTAGAAAAACATCATCATCAAGTGAACAACAAAATGAAAAAAAATCATTAGATGATAATCAAGATGTCACATCACCAATGATAAGTGAAAGAAAAACAAATATATCATCATCAATTGGATTAGCAGCATCAAGTCCATCTCCATCATCCATACGTCATTATAAACCAATGTCATTAACATCAACACAAACATATTTTAAAACAATTCAACAACAACAACGTGTATCATCACCAAATATACAAAATGTTCAAACTATAATACATGATGATATTAATGATGATTCTATTCGACCACGTACATCAAGTATGAGACATGGAGAAAAAAAAGATATTATTGCTACAGTTCGATTTATGGGTACAGACCAAAATGGAACAAAAGTTAAAGAAACATATTTGTAAAAAATTTACAAGAAAAAATATCTTGTATATGTCTTTATCTTTTCTTCATTTCTTATTTTTTTTTGCTGATGGATAATACGTATTTAATTTAATTAGTCAATGTTCGTACTACTTGTTTTTTGTGTTCTTTGTTTTCTAATATTCAAAAGTGTAAGAAAGAAAAAAAAAAATAAATATTATTAGTATAAGTTTATTTCTTTTATATTTATAAAAGATTCCTTTCTTTTTTTATTTCTATAAATCCAAAGAGTAAAGGAAGAAGCATGAAAATTCCCTCTACAAATAGAATTCGGATTAATGAATAAATCCCAGGATCTAATTTGACATGTTTTTTTTTTGTTTGACAATAATTAGTCTTTTTTTTGGAATTTATTTTTTTTTTGAAAAAACTAATTTCATTTATTAACAACTTATTAAAAAGCTTCATTAATAATCATCTTTTTTTTTTCTATAGAATTCTTTTTTTTAATCCTCTTAAATTATGAACTTAAAAAACAATCGAGCAGTATCAGTTCACTCAAGTCAACCGTTCTTGAGACATTCTCGGATGTAAGGAAGCTACTTAACATGGTTGAAGAAAAACATGATTTTCTTCTGTATTTTTAATTTATTTGCTTATTTATGAAATGATTACGTTGTTATACTTAGAAATATTTATGCTTTACAAGGTATTTGATCGTTAACTAAAATGAAATTCACTTTGTACAAGAAAAGAATTTCATATCGCTTTTGAAAACAAAAACTTTTTTTTGTTAGAGAACAAGAAATTTATTAGTAATTAATATTTGTTTTTATTACTGTTTTAGATTATGTTTACCATGAATAAAAAAAATTAATTGTTATAATTATCAAATTAATCATAATTATTATTGAACTGTGAAATTTTTTAAAAATTTAATGCAGATTTTGAATTTATATATTTATATATAAATTCTTCATATTATTTATTTACAAATTTTACAAGCAATAGTTTATGGACGTTATTTACTTACCTATAAATCAGTGCATAATCGAATTTGGCTATTAATAAGAAGTATGATCAAATTTAGGTTATCCAATTATTTTGATACAAATCAGGTCGAGAGTTATATCTTATGTTTTTTAAATATCGAATATAAATGCTAAAAAATTGATGAAATTATCAAGGTCGTTCGGAGCGGGAGGTCTAATCGTAAAATTTTGAAAAAATTTCGTTTTTTGCTAGCGAAACTGAACATTTTTTTTGGATTATTTTCCTCATCAGTCCCTGCATTGCCATAAATCCTATCTTCTCCGTAGTCGATCTCTTCCCCAATCTTGATGACATCCCAACATCCTTGAAGTTTGTTCGAATTACAATTGGAAACAGAGGAGATAGATGTCAGAATCTCAAACAGACGACTAATGTTATCTGAACATCACTTTTTTCTTTCAGCGTTCATTAGAAGTTTAATTTTATGCATTTAATTATTTTTAATAGTAGACAAAGTAAAATACTTTTCTCGTTAAGACTCAGAAAAGTATCTTTCATTAAATTTAGTTGTTAACATGAGAGGTTTTGTAGTGAGTTCGTTTTTATCTATTATTAGATTTAAATGAAGATTAAATTTACTTAATTGATTCTAAGACAGAAATAAATTGTTTATTTATTTTCCTCGCATATATTTTGTATGATCAATAAATATATGTTTTTGTCATCTTACATTATATTAAGTAATTTACTTGCTTTTTATCAAGATGATCATCCGTCATTATTTAAGTAATCTGGCAATATTAACTTTAAAAAACCCTCAGAATTCTACAGATAGACAGATTTATGTCTGTTTAAGTATCTTGTTAGTATATTTTGCTGTAAAAATAATAGTTGAAGAAATGCTAAACTTCTGACAATGACATTTTAAGAGATTTATATATTGAAATTACATAGTGTTCTATAGAGAACTAACGATTTAGCTGGAAGAATTACAATATCATTTGAAATAATGCTTTCAAGGTTTAGTTTTACTGTCGTTTGAGTTATGCAACTTGTGAAATGATTTTGAATAAAATTTTATCTTTCATTTTGATGTTTGACATGTTTATTTTCGATATACACACAGAATCGGAATGTATAAGACTTCAAATCGGTCTACTAGGACTTTAGTACTCTATCAAGTAAGATTATACAAAGAATGACAGCATACATATAGACGATCATTTTAAGATTAAATTTGGCGCTCTACAGCTAAGTTTAACAGTCATTGCATCATCCACAAAGAGGCACTTATGACCAATAATCATTTCATGCCTGCATGTTGATTTTTAGAAATGTAGATGACATTTAAACAATAACTGTATTAATCTGTCTGGTGTACCTGCATAAATAAGTGCTATATGCTATGACTCAGTAATACTGCTCTCTCTCTCTCTCTCTGTCGAGGCATCGTTCTTTTTAAAATAGAATTAACCAAATTTTTTTCTTTTGGGTAAATCTCATTTTAAAGTTCTTTCGAAAATGCTACAAAATCATGTATATTCTTCAAACTCAAAAAGTATTGACCATTTACATGGTGACTAAGTTTTTTATACAGATGCTGAATATCATATTAGTTTTAACTTAATTCAAACTTTTCTAATCGAAGTCTTGTAAACATTGATTATAAAAACACAACATCGCGTCATGATACGAGTGTGTACAGAAATTTTTTGAAAACATATGATTTTGTAGCATTTTAAAAAGAAAAATGTCTTGAAAGTTAACAAACATTTCACTGACTAACCAGATGGTTTTGTATTCGGTTAGTTCAGCAAGCGAAATACTGAAGTTGAATCTATAGCTACGTAAAATCTGAAGCCATTAATAAAACATTATTGAACTCACATATTGCAATAATTGAATTATTGTTTACTTTTTGTTTACATTCTTGAAAAATTGACACCTATTGGTGAAATAACCAGTGACGAGAAGTATCTCTTTATGAATAATTCTATCAAAATACGAAATTCAATAGTGAATCAATAAATTTAGTGTTAGAATGTTGGTGTAGACTTGTAATTCCATTCGATATGTAATTTGAGTTGATTGAGGATAAAACTTTTAGTAGACCGATATGAGAGCTTTTAGAGTCCCGTCGTTTCAATATGTTTAACTAATGAAATACTCGAGTTTTGTTTAATTTTGTTGCACGAAAACATTACGAAGAGCTGTACTTGTGTTTCAATCTCTTTAATTAAACCGCTTTATTTATAATTAAAAATTGTAATTTTCATCAAAAACAACAATTTTAGGTCATGATGACACGAAATCTCTACTTTTAAAAGGTATTAAATTCATTAGAATGATAAAAGAAGCTATGATTACACATGAAAAAAATAGAATATCATCTACACATCCGCATATGCGCATGTAGCTCGTGACACTCAATAACATATGATGAATTAAAGTCATTTTTTTTGTAAAATATATCAAAGTAAAAAAAAAACACATTTTTCTTTTTTTCTCACTATGGAAACATCATCTTTAATTGTTCATACATTTCAATTTTTTTATGATATTGAACTCATCAGATAAGTTTGAATGTTGAATATTTTTTTGTAAAAAAGTGTAAGTGCTTAGTGTTTAGAATATTTTGACATTATTCTCAAATTTGTACGAGTAAGACTTTTTGAAAGTTTGATATTTAATAATAAAATTCTAACTTTCAAACAAATAGTATTCCATGAAAATGCGAATATCATTGAATATTTTTTTATTAAGTATATAAAAAGAAAATATCAAAGATTGTTTTTGTTTTTAAAGTTAATATATTCAAAATCACGTAAGAAAGGAAACAATAATAAGAAACGATTAACTAGCTTAGCACTTATTCATTTTGTAAAGGTTAAAATGTTAAAAGTAATTTCTCTAGGAAATATTTGCTCTTTTACTTCATTTATATAATGTACTCTGTTAAAAACCTTAATAAAACTAGCATATTCTTTTTGTTGTCAACATTTATTAAATGAAGTTTTAGAAAATAATAAAATTACTGCAAATACACATATCATCGTAAGCTTTATTTTTCATTTTTCACTTATATTAAGTGATTTCAATTAAATTGAAATCGTTATTTTTATGCAAAACTCATATCTAAAGATAAACTAGTGATTGGATTATATTTTATTTCTTTTAGCCGTTGCTTAAATACACTACAATCAAGTGCATATATTCTCAAAGACAATGTACTTTAAACAATAGTAACAAATAGAAATGACTTAATCTTATAAGAGAAAAACAAATAAATATTCTCTCAAAGCATAGAAACATTTTTCTTTATCTATTTGTAATAAAGAAAGGAAAACAAACGATCATGAATGTCATAAATATGTAATGTCTTTGTTTCAAATGATATATATTCATATAGCCTTCCTTGATAGAGTACTTTTTTCTTTCTTGTTATTGTTTCGGTTCAGTGGCTTTAAAAAAATGTCCATGACACAACACCTTTCTTATATAAAAATCTCACGCAGGTAATAGTAACGTTTTCTTTTGTAGATAGATAAAAACAAATATAAGAATCATATGATCATCAATACGAAATAGAAAGAAAACAATACTATGCAACCTCTTGCCAAAAGTTCAAGTCAACCACGTAATCCAACGGAATCAGTCACGAATGCGCCGGCTTATAAATGCGGTTGGCTTTATAAAAGAGGTATGTTTAATGATTATTTTATACATGAAAGTTCTTTTCTGAAAAGATGAATTGATAGGAATAGATTTCAGGTAATTTGTACTTTGTAATTTAGTTTGATTAAGAAACATTTAACACTTATTATAAAAGTAAAAAGAGAAAGCATTGTTTTACAAGCAAAAAAAACTTATTAAATGCCTCATCAATCATTAACCTTGAAAACAACAGAAAAAAGGTATTATTATGTTAGAAAAATAAGTCTGGTAGAAAAGCTATGTTTTTTTGTACTACAATATCGATTCACAATTTTACTATGGTTATCAACAGAGATCACAACCGTATCTTTTTTTAATTAGTAAATAAAAAAACTACCAGTAAAATTCTTGAGACGAACTAGGTCACCTTCACCTAGTAACTCATAAACTTAAGTTAAAATAAAAGACTGTTCACCAGCCATCGAAATATTGAATCATAGTACAACAAAGACTTCCATTTTATCTTGAAACTTTTTATTAGTTTGACTTATATGTATAGCAGAAGAAAACAGTTCGTTTTATCAAATATTATTGTATTCGAAAGAACAAGATCTAGGTTAGTTCAAACTAATTTGATCTAAACTATCACTAAATTGACAAGGCAGTGTATAAATTCAAAACAATTTCTTGTTCTATTATTGTTTTTATTATAGGTGAACATATAAAAACTTGGCGTCCACGTTATTTTATTCTTCGCCATGATGGTAATTTATATGGTTATCGCAAGTCTCCAGTTTTAAATGATACACAACAAGAAGAACCACTTAATAGATTTCAAGTTATTGATTGTAGCGTTGTGCGTCAAGATAAAATCAAACAAAATGCCTTTGTTATACATTTCAATCAAATGAAAATAGAACGATTATTTGCTGCTAGCAGTCAACAAGATCGGTATTTATTAATCAAAAGAAAGAAAAAAAGAATTTTTCTTTTAAATAAATTTGTTTGATTTTTATTTCTTTAGTGAAGAATGGATAACAGCTATTGAAATAATTAATCGACAAATAACACCACATTTACAACAACAAACACCAACTACTAGTGTTAAAATGGTTACGAATGATGATGCTGATAATACGGAAAATGAATATCCTTTAATGAACGAAGTATTTGCAAGAAGACCAGTATGAAAAATAGTTTTAAAAAATATGATTCGTTTTCTTTTTTAAATTCGTTTTTTTCTTATAGCAAATCAATGATTTTGAATATTTAAAAATTCTTGGCCGTGGTACATTTGGAAAGGTTGTTTTATGTCGAGAAAGAACAACACAACGAATATTTGCTATGAAAATGTTACGAAAAAGTCTTGTTATAACAAATGTATGAAAAACAATTCGTATTGTCTCATTTTTAATTTGAATTTTCTTGTCATTAGAATGAAATTGTACATACAATGGATGAAAATAAAATTCTTCGACGAATTCGACATCCATTTATTACGGTAATATATTTATTTATTTTTATTTCTATAGAATTTAATTTTTTATAGAATTTAATTTGCGCATTTACAACAAGTGATCGTCTTTGTCTTGTTATGGAATGTGTTAATGGTGGTGAACTTTTTTTTCATTTAAACCATGAAAAACGTTTTTCAGAAGAACGTACAAGATTTTATATAGCTGAAATAGCTTGTGTTATTGGATATTTACATTCAAGAAAAATTATTTATCGTGATGTTAAAGTAAGAAAAACGAAATATCATTTTGTTTGCCATTTTTCTAATTTATTATTTTTTTAAATTAGTTGGAAAATATTTTACTCGATCGTTTTGGTCATATTAAATTAGTTGATTTTGGTTTATGTAAAACTAATGTACCATTTGGACAAACAACGGTTACTTTTTGTGGTACACCACAATATATTGCACCAGAGGTATAATGAAAAAAGAAGTTTATTTTAATATGAAGAATTAAATATAATTGTCGATTTTAAAATGTTTAAGAAAAAATGTTATACAATGCTTCGGAAACCAATACTTGTTAGTTGTGTCAGACCAATAGTGGATCTTTTGTTTGTTATTAGTTGAACTATATATATATATATATTCTGTTAATAGAAATCTTTCGAAACATTATCCTTTATGATTGAAAAAAGTAGAAAGCTCTGAGCGCAATCCTTGCGCGATTAAAATGTGAACCACTATGTAATTGCTGTTGCTAATCAGAGGGAAATTATTTTAGTTTATCTATTTTGAGATACATTTCTTCGCCATTCCTTTTCTTAATCCACCATAAAGTTCATGAGAGAAGCAGTTCATATATAGCATAATGAGACATTCTTTAGATATGATCTGTAATCGTATGTCAATGCATGTCATAATCTATGTAGGAGGAGAGAGTAGATCCAAATTTTTACTCTTTTACTTCAACATTCCTTTTTCGTCATATTTCATAACATGAATGAGATTAGTCTTTTTCGTATTAGCTCCAGGCTAGTTTGTTTGCCAAAGTTTGAAATAACACCTACGATATAAAAGTAATGGCATAAAATATTGATCTTTATTTAGTATCAATAAACACGTTCTGGAAAGGAGTTTTTTTTTCCGGCAATAGAAAAATTTTTGTGACACATTCATTAACAAAATGACATTAGAAACGGAAGAGACATTCACAGCATAAAATTGTAATTTGTATATTGACTCATGAAAATGACTCTTGCAAATGATATTTAATTTAGTTTTTTGTTAATTTATCAAAAATGTCATGTAAAATAATAATGTATTCAGTTTTATGAACTTGTCAAAATGATCTTGTCAAACATTAGTTGAATATAATTCAAATGTTATCTTATAAAATCTTTTATTGATGAGTACATATTAAAATCATGAAAACTATTATGTGAATGTTTCCTATTTTTCTCACATGATTTTATTTACACAAGTTTGTCCAAAGCAATTTATATGCAGTTTAAGAGAATTCTTAATTTTCTATCAATTGATGAAAATAAAATTATTATTCCTTGACATGCTTATTGAAGAGATATAAAAATTAACAACATTTTGTTCTGTCATTTTGTGGAACAAGTATGAACTCATTTTATAATTGTTTCTCTTTTGTCTCATGTCATTGTGTTGATGAATGCGAGATATTAGTTATTCATTTACTATCTGCAAAAGGAATATATTTTCTATCAACTAATAAAAATTTTTATTTCTAAAGCTCTTAGTTTCACAAGATATAAGGATTGACAGTAAATTTCATTATTTTTGCATCATATATTGATTTATGTTCTAAATATCAATAAATTTTATTTTACAAGTAAAAGCTCACAAAGAACATCAACAATTTAAGTCTAAATATTTTGATGATAGAATAAATTCGTTTTTTTTATGAAATAATTGAAGATCTATAACTGTACGACATTAGAATTGAATAACAACAGTTAATGAATTAATAAATCTTTTAAAATTTTTATTTAAACAAAAAAAAAAGATTCTTCGAATGACATCCTATACAAATGCAATCGATTGGTGGGGTCTTGGCGTTGTGATGTATGAATGTCTTGTTGGTCGATTACCATTTGCTGATAGTAAAAGTCAAGATGGTCTTTTTCAAAAAATCCTCAATCATGAACCAACTTATCCAGCTAATTTATCTCCAGCAGCACTTGACTTAATTAAACGTTTTCTTAAAAAAGAGCCAACAGAACGGTAAAAACAAAAAACAAATGAATTAGATTCAATATAATTTTATTAAACATTTATTTTAGTATTGGCTCTGGTGTTGACGATGTCATTGAAGTTGAACGACATCCATTCTTTATCAATATTCCTTTTCGTTTATATGAAGAAAAAAAAGTTAGCTCTTTTTGTCAATATTAATAAATTATAAAATAATATTCTTAAATTGTTTTTTTTTAGGTTGAACCACCATTTAAACCAGCACTTGATTCAGATACAGATACACGTTATTTTGATGCTGAATTTACTAACGAACCAGTTTGTATAACACCACCTGGTAAAAATAATTCTTTTTGGCTTTAATTTTTTTTTGTAATCAGAGATAGTTTACTTTTCAGGTAGTACCGATTCTATAAATGGTCTTGGTTTGCCTGATGATGCTTTCGAACGGTATCTATTTCCTTTTTTATAATTTGCTTTTTTTTTTCATTCTTTTATTTTCATACAGTTTTACTTATGTTGGCAATGATGCTTTAAGTCATTTTGCATCTCGTTCAATTTTATCAATGACATCATCATACGCTGCTCGTTCACAATCAAATATTTATCTTGATGATCCTGATTATTGTCAACAATCTTCAAATGTTCACAATTTACCACCTCAATATTCTGTTTCAACAATGAATATGCCATCAATGATTGCAGATGCAACATCGGCTCCATCATCATCTGTATTAAAAAGTGCCACAAGTATGCAACAATTAAAAGATCCAACAAGAAAAATGATTAGTAGAACATCGGATGCAATTGAACCACGTAATATGATCATGGATCAAGATCAATCAGAACAACAATCAACATTATCAATACCGAATATATATGAACAACAATTAATGAATGAACGTCTTATGTGTATACAACAAATGATGGCTAGTGGACAAAATTTTGCTTCAATGTTCAATGATGATCCACAATTTGCTCAACAAATTATGTCTTATATATCATCTGGTGGTCAATATTCACAACAACAAGAACCTGAAGTTATTGAAATCATGGACGAATAGAAGAAAAAAAATACGTTCGTCTTAATTTGTCAGATTTTTTTTCTCTATTGTTCGTTTAGTCTTGTTTCGTAACAAAGAAAAAATTATAATCGAGTTATCTAATTCTGGTTTTGTTTCTTCTTTTCTTTCTTTGACTAATTATGAAGTTAATATATCTTCATTTGAAATATTGAGTGTTGTTTTTATTTGTAAGAAGAATAATATCTCTATATATTTATATGTGCATATATTTTTTTTTTTATTAATTATTATAATAAATTCTTTTATCATTGAGCTTGATATCATCTAGTTTATGAATGTCGAATTATTTCAATAAATTCGGCAAAACTTATTTTTCCACTTAAATCTCGATCAGCATAACGCATCATTTCTTCAGCTTCAGCTTCCGATATATTTTCACCAATACTTTGCATGACACGTAATAGATCTTTTACACTAAAAGATTTTTAAACGAAATGAAGAATTCTTTTGTTTTATAAAACAATATTTACGTGATAAAACCGGTGTTGGTAGGATCAAAAATATTAAATGCTTCTTGTAATTCTTCAACATTATCGTCTACATTTACTTTACATGCAATAAGAGTTATAAATTGTGTAAATGTTATTTGATCAGAATCTATTATTTAGAATTTAATTTAAATAAGGAAAAAAATCTAATCAATGAAAACTAACCACCAATATTATTTTGATCAAGTAAATGTTTTAATTCATCTTCTTCGATAATAAATGATTGAACATTTTCTTCGAACTGTTTAAAAATAGCTGGAAGATCTTTAGTACGTACTAATCCATCATTATCATCATCAACAGTGGAAAATGCTCGACGAATTGCTTTTTAGAAAAATAAAGATTTTTATTTTTAACTAATGAAAAGTAATTCAAGTACCATAAAGCTCTTGTTCATTTAATGTTGTGTTCTAAATAACATATAAAATCTTATTTTATATCAATAAAAAGAAACACACAATTTATAATTCACCATATCTAGTTTTATTTTGCTTATGCTTGAAAATCGAAATCGAAATACGAAATTCAATTCTGTATAAGAAGTTTCTATTTATTTCAATTCAAATGAGAAGACAAAAAAAAACTGAAAGTATAATTAATTTATGATTCGATGAGATGGTGATGGTGCAGTGTCGCTCAATTGCTTCTCTAGAAGAAGATGAAAATGAAAAAAAACTAAAAAGAAATTTCTTAAAAAATAATCACCATTAAGTGGCAAGATAGATTTGATCCAAAGAGCATTGACAAGATGATCAATTTTAGGACGACCTGAATTCGGATGTATCAAAACAGTTAGAGTACCGTGATACATTGATATAAATGAAATTGTTTGAGTGAATAGTTTCAGTGGTATATAGACGCCCCATGAACCAATAGGATGTGGTCTAAATCAAATATCAAAATGCCGTATCGAAGGTATTTCAGATCAACTAAATACTGAATAATTGTCAAATAATTGATGATATTATAATAGAAAAACATTTTCATAATTAGTTTTTCATGTTGAACATATATATCTATATATACGTACCATTATTTACCAAAACCTTTGATTGAGAAACATCGAAATTCATTTTTTTTAATGCTTTACATGATTATAAATTTGTTCAGATGACACTAAGTTCTCTAATTACTGAAATCGATCTTTTCAATATCATGGTCCAATTTAAACAATACTTAAGCATATAATTAGAACAATATTTAAGATCTACTTTATTTGAAAACTATTTTTAGTTTAATTGTAAATATCAGTATTCATTTTGATGTAAAGTGGCAAGTGTGATAGTGAGGGCTTAGAAAAAATAAATAAGATAAATTTAAAAAAATAAATAAATCCCAAAAGTACTTTATCTATCGCACTCTGAAGTCATAAGTCGCTCTTATTTCTTTATCTAATACTTCTCTTATGATATTTGCTTGATGTATTCGTTTTTAAAATTAGTTTCGCTGATAAAATTCATGTCAGGCTAATACATAAATAATACCGCAACAAAATAAGTAGCAAGCTGCGAGTCAGTATTTTTATGGACTCGGGTTCAGGTGTCCAATGACCAGCAGGTTTCTAATAATAAATATTAAAACACGGTGTCAGGTAAAATGTTTGTTTGTGAGATTGAATCTGATCAACATGTTACTTGCTCATGTATGAATTGTTCTTCCTAATAATACAAAGTTTAGATGTTGTTTCAATCGAGTCATGGTATTCTAAAGATCTATTTCATAATCTATAGAATTTATCGTCACCTGAATACATTCGCAATTATGTTAAGTACTAACAAAATTTAATTTCGATTTTTCTGAATCATTTTTTATATATTTTTTTGTACAAAGTGATATATATATATATATATTTCTTTTTTATAATGAAAACTAGCTATATGTGTGGGTATTTTTGATTATAATAATATCAATTAATTGATAATTATTTAAAAATGAGTTGATATGAAAATAACTTCAAGAAATATTAACATCAAAGTTGTCGATTCATTCGGGGTGTAACTTCTATATGATATACTATATATATATATGTATGTCTACATATTATACACATAATTGTCATGAAGAACAAAAGATTTTTATCATACCCAACAGGTAACATATTTAAATTCCAATGACAAATTCGAGGACACCATGTTTCACAATAATCATTACAGTTGCTAACATTAAATTTAGCAAGAAATCGATTTCGTAATTGAATAGCCTCATTTCGTTGTTTAGAATTTTTTTGTAAAAAATATACATGAATATGATAAGAATAATATGTTACATTATCTTCAGGTTTTGACTCACTAAAATCAAATTTGATTCCAGACATGAAGACATCATCAATATCATTTGGTTGAATAAAATGACCAATTACAATTGAATTAATAGTAAAACAAATGAATATTATCAATATAACATTACTAACCATCTTCTTCTTAAAAGTCCACTGTTTATCAAAAACAAAAGAATTGTCCTTAATTTATCGTTGATACTTATAGATCAGTATGAATGATAGACACACGTGATGATAGAGAGCTAAGATAATACTGACATCAAAATAACAATGTCGTAAGTAAGAAGTTGTTTCTGCAAATTTATTACTATATGAGGAAGTTTTCCTTCTATCTATTCTCAAAAATTATGTTGATAAACAATGATGGATTCTTTTCTAGTGATATTTATTCATAGAATATTGACTAGAACGAAAATTATTAAAAATGATTTCATATGAAATCAACGAACTTCAAACAATATCTTTATTTAAAAAAAAAAGACGTATTTTGCAGAATATCCATAAAACAGAGAGAAATATCAACAAGTTTTAAAACATTCTGCTCGAATCTCAGTAAATTAAATGAATACAATTGAACTAAAAAAATAATAAAATATCAAACATATGTTTGATTAAGTCGATTGCCAATTAATGTACTACTCGTTGTTGATGAATCATTATTTACTGTCGTCAATCCAGTTGAAATTTTATCAATTTTTTGGGTTAACTTATCTTTATTATTATAATTATTCTGATTCATTGATTTAACTGAAAGAATTACATGTTCATTTTCAGAATCTGATGCTGATAAATCGAATTCAGTTGTTGCATGGAATAAATTTTGAAATCGATTTTCCTCGTGTTTATACCCTCCAACTTCTGTTTCTTGTTTTCTAGTTGAATTTGTACAACCCATATGTCGTCGCAGGTATAGCGAAAAAAAAAAAATTCTTTATGTATTTAACTAGATAACATGACATACACGTCATCAGTAAATATATATATGCAAAGATAAATCATCAAGTAATAAAAAAATTCTTTGTCAAAATCTTTTTGTTCTTTTGAAAAATATTTCATGATTCATAAGAGTTATAAAACCAAAATGAAGAGGTTTTTATCGTTGTTTTTCCTTGTTAATCGAAGTAAGAAAAAAAAAGTGTCTCGTTCAATATGAATAACAGATTTTATATTTGTATTACAAATGACGAATTCGAAGATTTTATTTCTTACAAGATATATGTTAGATATTTTTTCTAGAATATTATTCATAGTTTTTGTTTAAATCAAATTTTTCTTTGTCAATTTTTTTTCTTAAAGAATAGTCCATTATGTTCAAAGAAAAAAACTAATTGTCGCTACTGTCTTTATTTTCTCTCAACCAATAATTAAACATCCTTTCGAATCCTTTCTTCTTCAGTATTTATCACAGCCAGCATCGTTTCTTTCACGATCGATCAGTCTATTCATAATCGTCCGTTTAGTTAACTAATCGTGTTGTGTGTGTGTGGGTGTGTGTGAATGCGTACCTTATTTCATTTAATTTAATTTCTCAAATTTCTAGACTCATTTAACAATTATACATTTAATCTGCCTCGATCATCATCATGAGCCATTATCCAGCTTTTCTTCGTCCATATCATGGAAAAACTATGACTACAACTAATAATTCTTCATCAATAAATAATGAAAATGATGAAAATTCTACAATAAAAAATCTTATATTTAAACATATATCAAAAGCACAACAAGCTTCAATAAATGCAAATGGTAAAAAAGGAACAATGCGTGGAATTCTTGGAGAAGTTGGTAACATGACATTATCAAATAAACCAATAATTTCTAAATCAAAAATTATTCAACAACAGCACCAACAAAATTCTGTAGGAGCAATAATTGAATCACAAACAATTAATAATATATTACCACCAGCACCGCCACCGCTACCACCACCATCAGCAATAAACGTTGTTGTTAATGAGATTGAAGAAATTATTTTAGATGATAATTTTGAATCATTAACAGATATACCAATTGAATTTGATTGTGATAGTGGTGATCTAAATAATATTATTACTGTTTCAGAATTGGTTGTTGATATTTGCAAATATTGGAAAGAACTTGAACAGCATACACCTATTCGACAGAATTTTTTATTTCATCGTCGTGAAGGTCGATCAAACTAAACGAGAATTCTATATGAATATTTTAGAATTTTATTTTATAGGCACAGCTTCACCTCAAAATCGATCTGTACTTATTGATTGGCTTTATCAAGTACATGATCGTTTTAAACTTCTTTCGGATACATTTCATATGACAATTCATCTTATTGATCGTTATTTGCAAATAGTTGATGTATCTAAACATGAATTACAACTTATTGGGTCAACCGGTATGGTTAAAATAAAGAGTTTCAATAATAAGAAAACATTTAACAAATTATCTGAGTTAAATTTATTTTGTTACCAGTAAAATATTAAGATTTAAATATGATATATTAAGTATCTGTTCATCATATGAAATGTAGATATAGTCCTTGAAAAAATGTCACCAGTAAGCTTACGAGGAAATCGCTTGAAGAGACTACGAGCTTCTGCGCTGGCATTTTTCCTGTTAATCAGCATTACTGAGCCTAGAGAAGACTAATAATACAAGTGCCCTTAGATCTTTGTGCTCGAGTTATGAGGTTTATTACGTATAACAAGAGATCTACTAACAACTCACAGTATAGAATTTCCTATTGAAATTTTTCCTACATATGGGCCTCATAGCCTGTATAGTGACCCAAGTGCCGCAATCAAAACGAATGCTTCTTTCTCGAGACATAGAATCTTCAAGGAACATCCTCATGGTACTAAATGTCACGAAAATCAACTTCTCAGGAATACTCACTAACTCGAGAAAGTAGCATTCATTTTGATTGTGGCATTCAGGTCGATATAACAAGTCATCAGATGTCTATGTGGAGAGGATTTCAAATCAAAATTCTATACTATGAGTTTTCGCTAAGTCTCTTGTTGTAAATGATAAACTTAGTAAAATAGTCACAATTCGAGATGAAAGACCAGTAGATCTTGATCTTATTATGATTTTATCTAGTCTCGCTAGGTCCTACTTATAGGAAAAGGATCATCACAAAAGCTCTGAATTACTTGGAGCACTTACCTCATTAGTTATTAAATACGTTGCTGAGTAATTCTGGAAATAATATATCAGGTTCTGATTGATATACAAAGTTTTCTTTTTTTTACTAGATTTTTCTTTCGTAAAAAACCTAACAACTGCTGTGTTTATTAATCAAGATGAATCTTAGCTAAATAATTAATTGCATAGATGAAGAAAAACATAATCGCGTGTTTTCAAATTTCTATTCATCATTGTTGCTTGTCTTTTATTTTCTAACATGCAATCGTTTGATGTATATTTTACATTATGCAGTCGATTGAAAAATGTTGTCAGGTACTATAAAAACCAAAAGAGAAAGGTTAATGAAAGAAATTTCTACTCGACAATTATTATTTTATTTCTTCTATGAAAATTTAATATTCAAATTGATAATCTATTTTGATATAATTTTTCGTTTTAGCTTTACTATTAGCATGTAAATATGAAGAAATGGCAATACCTGGTATGAATGATTTTGTTTACGTATCCGATAATGCTTATTCAAAAGAAGATATGAAAGAAATGGAACGACGTATGATATCAACATTATCATTTGATCTTGGTCGTCCATTATCAATAAATTATCTTCGTCGATATTCAAAAATAATTCAAGCAACTGATATAGAACATACATTAGGAAAATATCTTCTTGATTTAACATTTATTGATCATGCATTTTCACATATACTTCCATCATATATATCAGCATGTGCATCATTTCTTTCACGTTATTTATTTGCATGTAAACGTATAACATCATCAACACCAATATCATTATTAATTGAAAATTTATGGCCAACAAAATTTATGTTTTATCATACAGGTTATGCATATGAACAACTTTATCAAGGTATTGAACAATTAGGACAATTACTTATTGGACAAGATACAACAAAATTAAAAAGTGTACAAAAAAAATTTTCTCAAAGTAATATGTTTTCAATAGCACAAAATAGTTGTTGTAAAAGTGCTTATGTTCAAATAGCATTATCACATTTATTAAAATAATTTATCTAAAAATTCAATATATACAAAATCAAACAAGAGAATTGAATGATTATTGAAACAACAAATAGTTATCAATCTTTTTTTTATATTAGATAAATATATAATATGAAATATTTTCTCTCAGTTTGTTTTCAATGTCAGATAATATGAAATTAGATAATCAAATAAATTGCTGGTATAGTCAAATATTGTATTTTGCGGTGGTTTTTCTTTTTTTTTTCGTTTTTTGTTCGCTATCATATTTCGATGTTATTGTTTATTATTATTTTTCTTCTGTTGGCTTTTTTGTCTCTTGTATATGTACAATAAAAGATCAGATATTTTGTACATTTTGGTACTCTTATTTGATCATTTATGTTTATGTGAAAACAAAAAAGCAAAGAGCAACTTTGCCTTTAGAACTTGTACTCTGTGAGTGTGTCTCGTGTTCTTTTTTTAACTTAGAAAAATTGTATTGATCGACTCTAGGAAATAAATGAAATTTTTTTCTTTTTTCTGTGTGCGTGTGTGATGATATTAGGTCAAATTATTCTTGTGTAATCATCAAAGCTGTGTATGTCTGATATATATATATATGAATAAAAAAAAAAATGAATGACTGGTCAATTCGATCTCTTTTTTGTTGTTGTATTCAAATAGATTAATTTTGTTAAAATTATATAATGTGCTTAGATTTTATTGAAGATAATGATTATTTTCTCTCCCATAGTTATTTTTCTTTTTTATAACATACGTACATGATCAATATTCTATGAGAACATAACTAAAATATCAATGTTTTGACCTGAATTAGCACAAACTTTTATTTATTTCCATCACAATTTCTTATATAAATATTCTATTGTATTTATTTTTTCTATCTCATAAAAAGTAACTTTTATACATGAAATTAGAACATCATGTAAAAGATGATGACATATATGATTTATCATCTAAACATAATAGATCCTCTATGAAACTTTATCCGATCGAAAACATGCATGTTTCTATATGACAGTATAAAATTAGGTCAATATCTATTAAATCTTATTTTCATAGCTGTAGATCCAAATATCAAAAAGAAAAACAATAGATTGCTTCTTTTTAGTAGAAAGTTTTTCTATAACATTAAAACTACTATGAAAAGAATATCTATGTATTATAGATTATGACCGAAATTACTACTAATTTAAATTTCAATAGAAGTGAAAATATTGATGAAAAATTTGATCGAACAATTGAACATTTTGAAGACTTGATTATGGATGAAAAATTTCGTTTAAATTCAACACGCATGTTTAAGAAAATATTCACGTGAATTTGATACTGAATTCGATGAAAATAAATTAATTTATAATGATATTCATAATGTGAATTTAATCTTGATCTATTTATAAACAATTAGAATCGTGACAAAATGAATTCGACGAGGAAATCTTTTGATGTTTATTAACATTTACTGGTAGTCTTACATTTCAATAATGGATGCTTAATCTTCAACAATCAATAACATCAGATATGAATACATGTCTACAATCAATCAATTTATTCGATCAAGTGTTTCTGAGATATTCAACTTCTAAAGTATACAAATTTGACAGAGTATTAATGGAAAATAGTTTGACATCTGAAAAATACATATCTCAGAGACACTTGATCGCAAACTTCTGAATTTTGGGCATAAGCTAGTTTCACTGAGATTTTTATTCGAGCAAGGTTTTCAGAATAGCACTCAACAATAAGATTTTATCGAAAAATTGAGTT